CCGGGAAGACCTGGAAAACCGGTAAGTGACCAGGCTTTGACAATCGATTCATGCTCTAGCGCGCATCGTCGAGTGATCGACTTATGAAATACGTGGAAGGTTGGAGAGCTCGAGAAAAACGTAAGAGTTTCTCGAGGCGCAGCCGAGAGAAATTTCAGCTTCTTGAGTGCTCTCCAAACTTTCTAAGTGGATGATAACTCGATAATACTTGTCTAAAAGCATGAATCAGTCGTTTTATAACATTGCCAAGCGAGGTGGCCAAGTGAAATTTACTTTTCTCACGCCCTATCCAATGATGCACGCTTGCATATACCGAGTGTAATAGCATTGCCTTTGTATTCATGTTATAAAGGTTTTTATGACGAACGCTTTACACAAACATCATGTGTTCCATGAAACACATCCATGCTGCAATGTGTTTTGTCTGTCCCTAGTGAAAACTAGCCTTAAGATCCGCGGGTTAGTGATATCCCCGACAAACTCACAGGCAAACGGGTTCATGATGCTGCATGTTCTAGTTAATAAGCCCGAAAATCTCTCTTTACCCTTTGAGCAAGTATTCTTTCGTTGCATTTCTCTCGTTCTTAGCCGTGCTCCTCACGAAAACGATGGTTTTATATGCAAAGTGAAGCACGATAATGAATTGTCGACATTTCTGCTTGTACTTGGGTTTCCCCTATGTGTAGTCAAATATATAGATGTTAAATGAATGAATGAACTTTATTAACGTGTTTAAAGTATCTACCAAAGAGGGAAAACCCTCTGCTAAACTCGATAAAGAACGTGATTTTATCCGATGGGAACCAAACAACGAACTTGTTCAAAAAAGTGTCACATGTCTTCTCGGGAGCTGCGCGTAACATTGTTAAGCATACATCATGATGTATTCACGCATCAAACGCCACTCGCTTTCGGCAATTAATTCTCCTTACAACTTTAATGCAAGGCCGTTTAGTTCACGATCTGGAATTTTCTTATACGTTTACGTTTATGGCGCTGTTAACGGTCTTCGTATCGCTTCCTACTGACATTTGTTCCTGCTACCGATCATTTCAGTCAAACAACTCATGTTCATCCAAGGACTTAGATCTTGCCTTGTCACGGTAATGGTGCCGAGAACCTGTTGTTTGAAGGTTTGAGGCTTGGGGCTGTAGTAAATCCTGGAATCTTGAAGCATGAGGCTAATCGCTGGCGTCTCCGAGCTGACTTTGACTTCGTCTTGTTCCTACACCACTGTTGTCTTGAATTTCGGGTTTTGTTGTGATGGTCTTCGGTTGATGTTGTATCTCCACACAGACCACTCTGTTTGTTTCACATGATGGACCTGTTGGACATCTTTCCCGCTTCACCTGAGTCTTTTGGTGGTCATCAGTGTTTGAAAGGTGTGATATCGAGCCGCAGTTTGGTGATCCCGAGAACAGGACCGAAGCAATCCGCCTTCCCCTTCTCTGTACGCCGGCTGCAGGTCTTCTCAGCTTTAACATCTCTAGCACTGCGTTCCTATATCGGCGATCCTTGTAGCAATAAAGAAGCGGGTTAAAGAGAGAGTTGAGTTGAGCCAGCATCATGGACCAACGGAAATACGAACTTCTACGAAGTGCGGGATAAGATCCTCCGAAGATCACCACGACTAACGATGGAGCGAACGAAGTTAACACGACGGCTGTCAGTATGCCAGTCATTTTCGCGACTTCCGTGGCGAGCCTGGCTTTAACCAGAGAATGAACTCTGCTGATTGAAGAAGTGTCCCGTTTTCTGACAGCGAGATAAACCATTATGTAGAAAGATCCGATTTGTATTATGCACGCAGAACACGGAAGGATGCCGACCATATTGACTACTCTAAGATATTTATACTGCACACCAAAGACTTTCATTATGCTCGGCTGAGTTGATATCAACACAGCTAACAGCCATGCAATTCTTGCATACTTCTTAACACGACCTCTGGTGATAATGACTCTGTACTGAGTCCACTTTGTTATCGCCACGTACCTCTCCCAAGCAATTAAAGCTAGATGATACACAGATGAAGAACCAACAATATGTAACACCATTTCATTTGCCAGAGCTATTCTGCAAAAAACGTTCGGGCTCAAAAACCGCTTGAGAAGATTTAGCACATCTAAAGTGATAGTTAGCGGCATGGAGATAGAGCTCATTAGAACATCGGCTACAGCCAAGCTTGCTAACAGAGTGTTCGAGTCGTGTTGTTTCAACTGTTTCTTCAGTTTTACCGCTAGTATTACTAACATGTTTAGGAGAAGAGCCACGGGACAAACAGTTACTGTGGTTGCAGCAGCTATCTTGAATGTGGCCGTCTCGCTTAAAACCCAAACAAATACAGGTTCAATTGGGCAAAAAAACTCGGAAGGCACCTGACTTGAAGCGTTCGCAAATAGATCTGTCTTGCTAGAGTTCATATTGATGCTGATCACTTTGTTTAACTCAATGAAGGGTAAATAATCATGATTCAAGTACTCACAGCTGAAGGTTTGGCCGTCTTTCTTTGATGTTAATTTTCTTCCATCATGTCTAGTAATTACGATATGTTTAGTAGTAGTTAACAGATTACTAGTTGTTACGAATGAAAACCAAACTCATTTATCGAACAATTCAGCAGCTGCTGGGGAATAATTTACACCTTCTGTTTTGCAAATGACCTAGGTGTGAACTATCATCTTAGACAAAGGAAGGTACGGAGGTATATCAGTGCATATCTAATGAGTGAACAGTTTCTTGAAGGATACGTTTCCAGTATGAGAGAAAATAAAATAAAAAAGGAAAAATTGTGCGAGCTTTAATGTTAATAACATATGATGAGGTTTTAACATGGATTCCTGGATGATTTTTTTTATACCTGGATGATGATAAATCCATAGCGCTATCTTAATGAGCGACAACATGTGGACAGGGAGTATATCTCTTTTAAATATAAACGCGCTAAAATGTAGATTTAACGAGGTAAGAATCAGCTTAACCATTTTCTGTTATATGTGACTGGTTAGAGAGTAAATCCACCTTCTATTGAACTCATTTGAGAGTTAGAGGTGCTAATTAGCGTTAAATATGGACTGGGATATTTCGAAGAAGTATCAGTAACAATAGCAATTTTTCAATAAAAGTGTGAACATTGCAAACTATCGCCTGTACCTAATGGCTTAATAGCTCAATATAAAATATAGTCATGTACGCGTGCACTGATTGGTTGCGAAGTCGTTTAGCACCAGGCTGATATGATTGATGTACCTTACCACTTTGTAAGCTTTGTTTTATATACAGTCGAACCTCCCGTAAGCGCTTACGGGAGGTGGTCGCTAACGAGAGCTTAGACCATAATGGGTCAATATTTTTTTTGCATTAGAATATGGTAACTGCCAAGTCTTATTCAATGCGCCAATGCGCCAATGCCGATGTAATGTTTTATTGATGTAAAAGTCAATTTCGAGAGAAAAATTCGATTCTTCCCATTGACAAATTTCCGTTTCTTGTGCTAGACAACACCTTATTATCCAATTTCCGCTGTATAATGTGTAAAATGGTTGCTTACGGGAGGTTAAAAACAAAGGAAAATTTCGAACAGTTTGCTCTAAAAGTGGTCGCGATCGCTTGCGAGAGGTGATCGCTTACAAGAGGTTCCAAATATAGTGATTTGACTTGGAAACTTTTGGTATTTTGGTAAACTGGTCGCTGAGGAGAGGTGGTCGCTTACGAGAGGTGGTCGCAACTGGAGGTTCGACTGTATTAAATTTCAAATAGGGCGGTTATCCTTAAGGTGGCTCCCTAGAGTATTTACGAACACCCTCCCTATAGAGCGTGAGTTAGAAAAGGAAACTTAGTTAATTTCTCTTAAAAGTTTTCCCTGTAGAGATTTACCAGTATGGGTACTGGTAAAATAAGGCTTAGTTTTTGGTTGTCAATTTTTGGATTAAGGCCGTTACCATGGCAACATCTCATCTAATGACAGGCTGATATATTCCTTATTTTGGCCGAAACTCCTTAATATTTATACTTTCCTTCGACGAAATATTTTCATAGTTTGCCACGTCATGGAAATGAAATTGCCTGACATTTTGAATTGGTAAAAAGTCAACGTTGTTCAGACGGTATTTCCAATGTTCTGTAAGTTGTCATTATTCTAAATATATTAGGTTAGCTCTGACAGATTTAAACAAAAATAGGTTATTTTATAGGAATTGTATGTAGTTACATCTGAGCCAAATTTAAAAAAAATTCACCGAAGGAAACACGAGAAAATTCACTGTCAGTTTTGCTTTTTGTGCTCATGTGACGTCATAAAAATCGAAAAACACTGACGTTTTCCTTTGAGCGCGCGCAGATTACTTGGACTTTCGTCCTATGCGCGCGTGCAATCGTAAAACTGTAGGGAGCCACCTTAATAAATCTGTAAATCCTCGCATTTGAACTCGTTCAGTTTTATCTTATATGCTATTTGTTACGAATTGTTTTTAAGAGTGGAGACAATCTTGGTGATAACCTGCGATGGACTAGCATCCATCTACGGAGGGGTGTGGCAACCCTTACCTTACTCATCTCACTTCACCTGACCTCACGTCTCTTAACCTCACTTTACTTCACCTGACCTCACCTCACCTTAACTCACACTTGATCTCTTTTGTGTTAGAACGAAGTTCATTTGCAATTTGCATAGCAACGCTTCTCTGATATGACAGTGACAGTCAAAGGGTCTCTAGTGCTATTTCTTGCAATATTTATTTTCCTCACCATTTCAACTTATTAAAACCATTTTGTTCTTTCTAGGGTCCCCCTGGACCGGACGGCCCACGAGGTACACCCGGACCCATGGGAGAAAAGGTAGGTATCTCATTGTACGAAAGAACTTGTTCATCCAAGCTACCAACAGCAATATAAGAACCAATGCCATCCGTGAAAAAAGTATGCTATGGAACGGTGAGCATGTTAAGGCGGTTTGTAAGACGTAAACAAGTAGTTAAAGCTAAGTCAATTACATGCAAGTAAGTGGACGCGATCGTGTTTTGTGAGCTTCATCAAAGTTAGCTCCCTAAATTCTGATCGGTTTTACTTCACTTGACAGGGCAGACTGCTGATATTCGTAAAGCCAAAAGAGAAGCTATCACCTTTCTCCAATCAAATCAAACGAAAGTAAAACCAGTGAGCCAATCAGAACACGAATCCAAAGTGTGTAATCTGTGCGAGCCTTCGCGGTAGACAAGTTTTGGTTGGTTGCGAAAGACATGTTTGCATTTGTCGGTTGTGTACATTAACAATTAAATCGTTTAGAAGAAGTAATGTTTGAAGTAAGTAAATATAGAGTAAGGCTAAACGTAAACACCTTTTCATAGTGAAACACAATTTGCACTGCAATGTGATAAGAACAACAGCGACATCATCGTGATTAACACAGATATCAGAGTTATAAAACGATGGCATTCTGTGGGTCTCAGGTACTAACCTTATGTGCAAACTTGAAAATTTATTGAAGAGCTCACTCAACTACAATAACAATAGCAACAACAACAAACAGGCTAACAAATTGAGAGATTGTAGGAAATGTTAACCGCTTGTGTTCATATTTTTATTGTTAGGGAGACAGAGGGCTTGACGGCATGGCTGGAATGATGGGCCACAAAGGACCACGGGTAAAGTAAATCCAGTCGTAAAATATAAGGTCCAGGTCAAACGTCGAACTTCACATAAGACGAACTAAACTGAGCGAATTAAGTTCATGATAAGTTCGACGTTTGACACAACTGAGTTCGTCCGACTGGAGCAAACGAATAGAACGTGTTGGTCGATCTAAATTCGAATCAATTTTGACATCTGACCCGACGGTCGAGCTTTTACCCGTTTGGATCTACTCAAATTGCAATTATGTCCGTCTCATACGAGGTTTGACGTTTGACCTGGGCCTAACAATACGTGTTAAAAGCTGGTCAAAACAAATGAGTGGAGTCTTACAGCTCGCCACTTGTCCACTTGACAATATATATTTGATCCACAATAAACTGTTTATTTTCTGTCGTTTTCTTTAAGGGTTTGCCAGGTGCTCGCGGCGAGAAAGGAGACAAAGGCGAAGCTGGGGAAAGAGTAAGTTTTATTTTTCGCATCGGCCTTGTAATCTATTTCTCGCTGGTAAAGGAGTAACGTTTTCGCTCACGCACTGGTCAGGCAATCTCTACTTTCTCTGTTAGGGCCCGAGAGGAAGGATGATCCTGGCGCTAGGATGATCCTACCTCCATGTAAACGGCCTCAGGAGGCCCAGTTTGCCCACCCACCATCTTGAAACCGGAGATGGCCCTAGGGACGAGTTGGGAGAAACAACATGGCGGGATCTTTGCACTTATCGACAAAAAGCTCAAAAAAACCTGGAAATGGCAGCAGTGTGATTTAGTTGGGGAATCATCGCTCGCTGTTGCTGTGTTAGAAATATCAAGTTGTATATAATGGCAAATTGATGCTGAAAGGCAGTTATCAACTCCAGTAAAGAGAGAAGAACTCCCAAAACTACGCTTTTGTCATTGTCGCCCGCCACCTTGCTTTGCAACCGCGCCGAACACAAAAGTGCTAGGGCGATCCTGCATGTAAACCAAATGAAAAGTTGGTCTCAGGAGCCGCGTTTTTGCATGTAAACCAAATGAACCTTCTAGGATGATCCTAGCACTAGGATCATCCTCTTTCTATGTAAATGGGCCCTTAGTGAATGGTTAGTGTTGTTTCACCCAATGGTCTTTACGCGGCTATCTTACCTTGTCTTTGACGGCAAAAAAGTAACTCTTATTTGGCGCATTGATCACGCTATCTTTTTCAATTTTACTGGCGGAAGTGTAGGTCTCATATCACCCTTTTCATTTGTCACGCTATCTTTTGCGGTGGAAGAGTAATCCTCGTTTCGTGTTTGTCACGCTATCTTTCTTAAGTTTGCTGGTGGAAGAGTAATCATGTGTTATTTCACACCTTTGTCACGTTTTCTTTGTTAACTTTGCTGGTGAAAGAGTTTGATCTTTGTGTTTATATTTTAAAAGGGAGAGCAAGGTATACCTGGACAGAGTGGAGTTCCTGGTGAACGGGTGAGTTATCTCTCTTCTCATCAATTCTTGAGTGTTTCACATTGTTTGATCTTGTTTGTTTTTGCTAAAAAAACTAGACGCTCCAAGAACGTTTATTCAGGCTTCGAGTCGCAATATCAAATCGTACTTTGCAAGAATCGAACACAATAAAAATAAGTAAAAGAATCAGGATATTTAACACAAAAGTGACGTATAGATATTTACTATTCAAATTGCTTCGTTGAGTATCCTCTTCTTCCGATTGCATGTTCTTTGCCTCATCTTCGAAGTTCTGGTCAAGAAGATTCTTGATTTTTTCAACCTCTGGGGTTTTTGTCTCAGTACCATTGTTTGTAGTCATAGTTTTGTTTATAGCGTTTTCGTAGTTTGAGCCATTTTTGGCTCATTTGGTAATCTCGTGAGAACTAGCATAAACTTTGCTAATTAGGCTGCAGAATTCGTGGACTGACCCGTTCCGAAAACGGTAGATATGAAAAACGGCGAGATGAGCGTATAAGCCTGATTCTTTCCAAGGCGTTCTTCACAAAACTCAACATTCTGTAAATTATGTTGTTCACGAAGAGAGAGCACACGATTACCAAGCTGTCGCAATCTCATCACCAGTTTCCACGCCCTCTGCTAGGAACGCATGGAACTATGGCCCTAAAAGAACGGCATGCATTTTTAGATTCTGGCTTTCTTACGGAAGCTCAAGTAAAAACAAAGAACATTCAAGGAACAACGCCCCTAACTAAATAAATGCGCGAAGACTCGTTATATCGACCCTATATACATTCGAAGTTTCAGATTAGATTGTTCCCTTTGATTGGTCAAATTAAGAATTCGGTCACTCGTTCCAGTCTGCAACAGTTGGTTCCCAGTCTCCCTGTCTTTCAAAAACAAAATGGCGATTCAATCTGGCGAAATGGTATTAAAAAATAAAGAGAAAGGTGAAACGACGAGAAGCTTACAAGTCAATCACCAGGATTTGATTCAGATCTTCAGGTACTTGGCTATATTTGCAAATAAGAGAACCATGCTTTTAACTGTTTTGGGAGGTGAATTGAATGTAAACCCCATCTTGCTACTTGAAGAACAACTGGAAAACTGAATGTTTACTACTAGGGTACGTTAAAATTCAACATAAATTCATAATTGTGTGCCTTATTAAAAATCAGTTGTTGACAACATGAACACTTAATTTTGGATATTGCTTAGTTTTTGTCAAGTGAAATTTCTAGTCTTTTTATTGCAACGTTTTTCGAAGTTTCCATGTACTTTTATACGACAGCCTTAAAAGCATGTCTCTGAATTTCCTTAAAAGAAATATAGTCTCAAAATTGCCTTTGAATGTGCTTCTCAGGTGACATGGCTTTTGCTATAACTAAAATCAACCAGAATTAACGAATTTCAAATAAACATGTTTACTGTGTTTCTTTTGAATTTTAGTATAAATCTACTAGCATTCAATCACGAATGCTGCTCTCTGATTGGCTACGCTACTCACTCTCTCTATTCTGTTGTAGATAGTCAGTAGTGTAGCATTGAGCGATTGTGAATGTTAACAATTGGCAGCCGCTTCTTTGTGTTTTCAAAGTGTCTGTGAAGAGGATTTAGATAAAGTTTTGAACGACTTGTGCTAAACAATTAGATTATTCGCTCTCGATTTCTATGCATGACAGTTGACGAGGGCACAGCCCGAATCAGCTATCACACATAGAAATTGAGCGCAAATTATCTAATTGTTAAATAGAAACACTCATGAAAGTTTGGGAGAACTCAAAAAAGATGTGGACCCACAGCAGTTCTCGTTCTCCCAAACTTCCAACTCGATAGAAAACCAAAACATGTTTTAGATATTTGTTAAACAATTTAAAAAATTTTGTATTTTTACAAGACTGGCTGTTCTTTGATCACAGGGTCCCCAAGGTGAACCTGGAGCAAGAGGTCCTCCTGGCCCAAGGGGATTGCAGGCAAGTTATTCTTATCTTACTAACTTCAGTAATGATGTGTCTGAGGTGCAATAGCCTTAATGGTTAGTGTGCTGTACTCCAGATTAAGTAGTCTGGGTTTGAGCCTCAGGTGGAGTCATTACGTTATGTTCTCGGGTGATACATTTAATTCTAGCATTGCCTCTCTCCATCCAAGGTGTAAATGGTTTAAGCGGTGAATTTGATGCTGGGGGTAACCCTGTGATGGACTAGCAGCTCATCCAGGGGAAAGTGGAAATACTCCTAGTAGTCACTTCATGCTACAGAAACCTAAGATAAGTACAGCTGGCCTGATTGACCTCTGGGATCTAACATAGATTTAACTTTACCTCTGTGGTGATTCTGGTGCACAATAAACGTGCACTTGGTGTGAACATTTCACTCATTGCCACGTGTCTTGTTTTATCAACAGGGAAATACTGGTGAAAGAGGACCACCGGGACCAACAGGCTCCCCGGTGAGGTTCCATTTTTGTTTTCAAGGAAAAATGTGACCATATAATTACATACCGTACTGAGGTGGGAGATATTGTGGTTAGAACATTGCATTATACTCTAGATTGAGATGTCTGAGTTGATCCTTGGCCAGGGTCTTTGTGTTATTATTGGTTTGCACAGCACGTTACAGGTGTGGATCTAGGATAAATGGTGACCAATATCTGAACTGAGCACCAAAGGCCCAAGCTTCTAGAGGGGTCTGGGGCCATGCTCCCCCTGGAAACGTTTTGGATTTGAACTTTCTAAAGGACCCTTTCCTGGGTTTCTGTGAAGTTCTGATAAATCTGACTGATTTCCATAAAATCGGGGAAAGCAGTATGGATCTGCACCTGTATTATTCAAGAAGGCAATTTCTCCTGAACACCCACGAGTTGTGAATTAATGAATGGTATGAGTAAATTTTATGGGCAGCCTATCAAAAGGTTGGAGAGAAGACTCTGGTAGACTGGAAATTTGCTATTTAGTTGTGTTATGTACACATTTGAAGCTACCATGTTTCTTTTTCATGTAAAATACCATTCTGGTTTTTCTGTTCATTCTTTGATAACTTAAAGTTGTTAAACAGCTAAATACAAAGTTATGAATGTGTGATAGTGCACCTTTACTATTTTACCTTAATTGACTTCAGTTCAACCATGTGGTTGGGAACCAAGTGCATTGCTCTGTAAAATAGCTTTTCTTAGAGATCAAATTTACCTGTAAGGATACTAGCTAGGACATATCTATGTACAATTTGCAAATTAAAGCTTTGACCATCTTGGGGAGATTAAGAAAACATGATAGTTTATGTGAATCTGATTCAGAGGTGAAGTGAAAAGGACTGTACTTTCAGATTCACTGGAATTGAAATGACATTGAACGTTGCAATGCACATTGCAATGCTCTTTGAACAGGAAAATATGAATCTGAGTATAATTGTGAAATTTACAAATGATGTGTATATTAGCTCAGTAACTGAACCAGGAGGGCATCAGTTTGCATTTGGTAAATGTGGTAAAAATGAGCATGAGAGGAATGTGGAAAGACAGTGTTGTAAAAAATAATGTGACACTTTTGGTTTCTTTTCTAGGGTCCTCCGGGTGCACCAGGTATACAAGGTGTACAAGGCATGAGAGGAACACCGGTATGATCAATAAGCAGCTCATTATTTTTTTGTTGCTCTTGTTCCAGTAGAGAGCTAGCAGTGATCTTGATGTATCCATGGTGAGGTAAAGCTAGAAAGAGGGAAGAGCACTCCATGATTCACTATCACCCGGTCAGAAGTCCTCAGATCTAGTCTTGTATTGTATGGGGAGCAAAAGGCTAAGCTACTGAGTCGCAGTATAGCAATAACAAGATTTCTGTCTTTTTTATTACTGTCATATTCAAGCATCTATTGATCAAGGAACTTTCTATTTAGTGTAATATTTTTGTATTTCCTTTCAGGGACCTCCTGGCATCCCAGGCCCTCCTGGCCCTGTTGGACCCAAGGTATACCATATCATGAACATCTTTGACCTCTTTTTACTGATTTGTCCTTACTATAGCATAGTTTGTTTTGTCACTACAAAAACTGTTTTCTTGCAGTTATTTTCTGTTAAAGAAATATAACTTTGTGTCTTT